AGGCCTGCCTTACAAGCCGTCTATCTGTACTAGGGGCTCACGCACCCTAGTACACCATCCTCGTCGTCTCAGCCTACTTTGTAGGGCCACTCCCCTCGGCATTAGTCAGGACATCGGCAGCTGGTCCGCAGAAGTGACGAAGTAGTAGTTCCGTAGTTACCGCCCACGGTTGAAGGCAAAATTAAAGTTGTCTACCAGCCAAGTTTTAAATCTTCTGCCGATGCCGTGTGCCTTCTCAGCGACGTGCACGCTCCGAGGGGAAGTGAGAAGTACCAATGACGCTAATGAAATGTTATATGTTATTTTGGTTTTGGAGTGATATATGTGGATATATTACCTGTTAAGATTTTATATCACCCGAGCCGTTAGGCGAGGGTGATATTTTATCTTGGCAGGCAATATATCCACATATATCACTCCAAAACCAAAATAATAATTTTATTACCCTTCCCCTGCCAAGTTTAGACGATTTTCTAAAAAATCATTGCTGTTTCAAATGAAACGTCGAAATAAGATTCCCTTTAGGGTACCTCTTCGTCACAACATGACGTCACTTAAACGTATTGACGTATTTTTCCCGTACCTAACGAATGTAAACAAGTGAAAGGAGTAGTCTATTGAACGCACTTTTTTGTAATTAATATCAAGCTTTCACAAGGTCATATTTGTTTTCGATACAGATGGTAATATGTATCATTACTCTACTTTGGTAAATATTTATCATTTGACAGTTAAAAAGTGCTTTTAAATCGGAATTTACACCGCGTAAAATCGAACCGTACGCGCACCACCTCAGCGCATGTTGTGTACAACGTACGTTGGGTACCCAACGGGGAAATTTAGTGTGTATATTACCCGTCTGGCTCGGTTATATCAATTTCTTTCGGGTGATCAATATCCAATCAAAAAGGCGGAAAAAATCTGGAAGGGTAATAATATATGTTATTTTGGTTTTGGAGTGATATATGTGGATATATTACCTGCTAAGATTTTATATCACCCGAGCCGTTAGGCGAGGGTGATATTTTATCTTGGCAGGTAATATATCCACATATATCACTCCAAAACCAAAATAATAATTTTATTACCCTTCCCCTGCCAAGTTTAGACGATTTTTAAAAAAAATCATTGCTGTTTCAAATGAAACGTCGAAATAAGATTCCCTTTAGGGTACCTCTTCGTCACAACATGACGTCACATAAATACATGACGTATTTTCCCCGTACCTAACGAATGTAAACAAGAGAAAAGGAGTAGTCTATTGAACGTACTTTTTTGTAATTAATATCAAGCTTTCACAAGGTCATATTTGTTTTCGATACTGATGGTAATATGTATCATTACTCTACGTTGGTAAATATTTATCATTTGACAGTTAAAAAGTGCTTGTTAATCGGAATTTACACCGCGTAAAACCGAACCGTACCCGCATCACTTCAGCGCATGTTGTTTAGAACGTTGGGTACCCAACGGGGAAATTTAGTGTGTATATTACCCGTCTGGCTCGGTTATATCAATTTCTTTCGGGTGATCAATATCCAATCAAAAAGGCGGAAAAAATCTGGAAGGGTAATAAAACTTTATATACTAAAGTGACGCTAATGAAATGTAACTTTATATACTAAAGTTTAATTATTTCAAAACAACCAATATATCAACATGTTATTATTAAACATTTTATTTCATAAATTATAAATTAAAAATAATTATCAAAAGCAAAATTGTTAAAATCTTATGCCTGGAATCTTCTTTATATTGCCAAATTCAATCACTAATAGTATACTTGATATGCTGTGTGTAAATGTAATTCAAAATGTAACAAATTATAATTTCATGTACTACTAAAAAAGGGAAATAACAAATTTATAACCTAAGTGTCAAAAATCAGAACATTTATAGCTATTTATAGCTTTCGAATTTATGCTTTCCGGTTCTCATTCATTAATATGACATGCTGCGGAAACCAATATAGAAATCGAAAGGAGTTCTTGAATGAGGATTTACTTTTAGCTGTAAATTGAAAGGATTTATTGCTCAAATCCGGGCCCATGGACAAAAAAATAGTAAACACAAATAGCTCCGCGCCTTTTGGCGCAATAAGATACTTAACTCGATGTAATAAAGGGGAGACTGTTAAACTTGCCACTGACAAGATCTGTGGGCATCAGTGTATCATAAAACAATGTATGTTAATGTAAAATGGAAATTAAAATAATATTATTAGTCGCCGGTAGAAACCGGCAACTATATTTGTAACAGTTTAATATTATATCTATGGTAGGAGAAGGCCTTAAAATCTGAATATAAAAGCAAATCAATGACTGAACAATTAAGGACCACCATTATTTTTAATAATCTTAAAAATTCAAAAATAAAGTAACGTTGCTAAATGAAATGAAATATACAAATATTGACATCTTAAAAAGCAACATAACAATTTTCATAAAATGAATTAATAACGTATCCCCAAGGATCAGTCATTGAATTTAGGGATACTTTTACTTTTTTTTCTAAGTGTCAAGCGTTGCTATTTTATGATTGATTAATCATGAATGATATTTGAAATGACACATTTAAATTATTTGGTTGTTTATATCTTATGAGACCTAATATATTTCATTATTTTATCTAATTATAAACAGATTCTCCCTGTTCTATTGTAAGAATCACGTGACTACACGTTGTATGTTAGTGTTATAGAATCTATTAATAGTAACAGATTGCTGATAGACTTACTAGTTGGAAAACGGTATGGCAGCTAATTCGATGCAAATGTATAAATAATTACAAAGTTATCTTTCATTAATCAGTTTCATATTTTATATCATTAGAAAGGTCTGTATACTCATAATTAGCACATTAAAAAATTAAATAAATTTTCAAAACCTTTCATTTTTTCTTGGTAAAGGGTTAAACTTGGCCCTTTCTGTCAAAGTTCAATAGTTTAGTTTAGGTTGAACATCACAAAATTTATGCTAAAGAGGCAAATTTATTGAAATAAATAGTGGTAATCGTCGTCTTCGTTATATTCCGTTGATTTCCGTCGCGCAGGTTACCAAAACGGTATGACGGATCTCCGTATATTAGATACATAATAAAGAAAACTAATAAAAAATCTTTTTGTTAATATTCGAACTGAAAGGCAATTAAACGTTTACTATATCGTTTGTAACGACAGGAACATTGATTTCAACTAAATAATTTATTTGTTCAATAGCGCAAATTTTTTTTTATGCAGATACCACTTTTATGGTAGAATTGCATTGTTTCATGCAATAATTAAAACATATATATTTTCAAATATTCGATGACCTTTGATTACAGGGTTCTGAAGTATACAAAACGGATTTCGATGTCTGGTATAACGGTATATGTATAAGGTAGAATTACAAGTAGAATTACAAGAATATCACTCACCTTACAGAATTAATCAAAATTATGAAATAAAAAAAATCTAAAAATGAAGATTTATCAACTTATGTTTCATATAGTTAAAAGAAATAATAAAAAAATAGTTTTATGAAAACTGCAAAAGGGATATTTTCAAAGATTCGAATTTGGCCTACTTCCTACTTACCACCTGTAGGCCATCGAGCAATATTAATTGATTTAATATCGAGATCTATACTATCAATAAAATCTTTAGCATAAATCATAATAAGTAACGTAAACTAACGAAATACTTGCTTATTTAATAATCATAGCAGTTCCTTGACAATATTGCTAAGCAAGTTTGCTTCATATATGATGTTTTATTGTGAATAAACAGTTACTCAACATATTGTTCCTCTTTTCTTTATACCTGAACCATTAATTAAACTGATATTTTTTATATTTATGATAATACAGTCATTTTCTATCCGGCGACTTGATGCTTTAGCATCAAAATCTCTACTTGTTTTACATTGTTTTATGATACACTGATGTCCACAGATCTTGTCAGTTGCAAGTTTAATAGTCTCCCCTTTATTACATCGATTTAGTATCTTATAATCTGCAGCATTAACGCCGACTAAGTAAATTTCAGCCTTTATATGTCATAAAGCGATGAACATTATTACCTCGAGAAAATAATGTCATAATCTAGCAAATGAATATCCACTTACTGAAGTTACAGCTGTAATATGCAAATGGCGTTATGTCTGAATTATGCGCTGCTAAATTTAAGATACATATGGTATTGTATGCGTGTAACTGACAGACATAGCAGATCAAGCACACATTCATGAATATAGAAAAATGAATTTCCTTATGTTAATTGCGCTATTTAAAGTGCAATTTGGTCGTACTGAATCATAACATTTTGTATTGTAACTGCGTGTTGCTAAAAAGCTTTTTCGATGCATATATCGCATTAATTAACTTTTCTATCTTGAGAAAATATTAGAAATGATAGTTTAACGTCTCAATTTCGACTTAAAGGGCGCAAAGAATAGAAGAATTGATAAAAGATTGACCTTGATTTTCTGTCATGGTATTTCTGCCATCGACGGCAGCATTTAAAATAGGTATCTGCCTACAACGGCAGCATTTTTTCTTCGACCGGACCAGATTGAACGTCTGTAAAACTTTCAAGACAAGACTCACGGGGTAGATATTTGGCTTGCGTGACCCCAATGGATGGACGTCTTTACTATTTACACGAAATCCTGCCATTTAGTTAAAATTTGAGATATTTTGAACAAAAGAACAGACATTTTCACGGATTTTTCCGAAGCCTTCACTTTTAATCTGCTCAAAATAATCTAAAAACAGGAAAAACGAGTCCAAAATGACCTAATAGTATCTCCAGTCAAATGACAATAGTTTCATAGCAATGAAATGGGCCGTATTTGTGTAATATAATAATACCAACCAAATTCATAAACTACCTGTACCGAGCGGTAAATTTCAGGTATCTGCCATCACTGGCGCCGGTAATACGGTGTGATTATGTTCATTTTTTTTTATTTAAACGGGATACGCATCAAATCATTGCTTTCACTCAAGAAACAAATGACTCTTAGAAAGAAAGATATAATTATCAAGTAATCAATATCATTACAACATGTGAAATGTTTGAAAATATTATAGTGGGTCAAATTCAATCACAAATTTTTAAATATAAAAATTATCAAAGAATGGCGTTGTCATCAAAGTCATATTTATACCACTTTGAAAAGATATACAAGTGCATATATGAGTGTCTATGTGTTTTAAATTTTTACAACTTCAGCTAATTTCATTAGTCACGCCTTCTCCCCCTCCTTCTCCGCCGCCTTCTGCTTGGCCTATCCGTGTCGTCGCCACGCTGGCATGGTAAACCAGCTAAACATTTCATGCACAGATCACTCCTATGTGGTTTTTCAGGGCCAGTTTCTTCATCGTCAAACTCGCATTCACAGTCATACCGATGTTTTTCACAGTAAACACATTCACATTCACAATCATCACGGTCCAAGCCACAGTCCGGACATTGAAGATTTCGAACTCTAAACGGGTTTTTCGCTTCACCGCATGCCTTGCACTTTTGTTTGAAATACACCTGAAAATTGAAATATAAATAATTTAACGACCCGTGATTTCTAGTTCACTCTTTGATTCATTTTAATAAAAAAAAAGATATGACTTTGTGATAAAATGAAAAAAAATATGATTAGAAACACATCAACATTTTTTTGACACAGTTTTCACATTTTCAATTAATATCTATTCTCGTTATTTCGTTTTAACTTGATATTTTCATACATGTTAATGTTTCAACACAGTTCATTTATATTAGCTTTAATGTTAACAAAACTAATTAAGGTCATGTATATTTCCTCAAAACACAAGCAAAATTATATTCATGAAAGTAATCCTTGTATTTTATATAAAACAGAGCAAATTTTTTGTAGCTCTGAAGAAAAATTATTGGGTATTACAATTAATAACACCTTGTCTTGGCAAAGCCATATTGATAATCTTCTTAAAAAGTGTAACTCATTGTTTATTATTATCACGTATAAAATTATTCATATCTATACCTGTACATAAAATGTTTTACAATGCATATATTTTACAACATCTTGATTATTGTTGCATAATTTACGGTAACTGTACGTCTTTTCTAGAAGATAAACTCATTAAGTTCCCAAAAGAGAGCTGCAAGACTAATTCTAGACAAAGATTATGACACTCCCTCTGCTGAACTTTTTTCTGAACTCCGCTGGATGACCTTTTCACAGAGGGTTGTTTTTCAAAAAGCTATTATGATGTTTAAAATAATGAATAATCAGGCGCCTTCCTATTTATTGAATAATTTCATTTTATCGTCAGATGTTCATACTCGCATTTTGCGTTCATCATCTGATTTTCAACTTTATACCCCTAGACCAAATACTGAACAATTTCGTAAGTCTTTTGTTTATTCTGGATCTTGTATTTGGAACGGCCTTCCTGATTATATTAAGTCTGCTACATCTGTTAACCATTTTAAAACCTTATACTTGAGGTTTTATCACACATTGAAGTATACAAATTGATAATCTCCTGTATGTTTTTACATTTATGTATTTTAATAGTTTGAATATGTTAAATTTATATTGTTCCTTGTTGAGGGCCTCATGGAAGATTGATATGTTTGTTCAAATGAGTTCTCTCGTTAAATAAAGTCTTTATTATTATTATTATTATTATTATTATTATTATTATTATTATATAATATTGATATAAAGATATAGAGGATATTTGGTTGTTTTGCACTTAAGATTGAAATATATTTTCACTGAGTGAACACCAGATGAGTGAACACCATATGCAATATTTTTACGAGTGCGTAGTTCAGTTAAAATTCTTTAATTTTGTTACATTTTAAACAGGAAGTATGAATTTGATGACATCAACTTTCTTGTCCTAAAGAAGCAAAATTTACGTATGACTGCATTTATTTTTGCCAGTTATTACAATTAGTTATGATATTCTTTTCATCTGCATTCAGATACAGTCCGGCTACAGTGAAATTATATTTTATAAATTTCACTATAGGTATCTAGTGGTTTAACAGATTATTGTATCTTAGTTTGGGGACCTTTCTGTTGAAAATGTGCCAGAGTTAAATCGTATACATATACATGCACAGTGCGTTAACTGGAGTGCAGGTATTGGTTACCCGCACTCAAGAGCATGCCCATTGACTGGCTCATTTTGTCAGGGGTTTACATATTGTGACGACAGAGAAAGGAAAAGCAATAGAAATATCATATTCAGATGCTCTTTTATTGGTTACTTTTTTTCTGGGGTTTCATATTGTGACAACAGGGAACGACTTTTTTTGTTTGACAATGATACAAAAGAGAAAGAACATCAAAACACTCGGCAATCTGATTTATACTCGGGTGCTACGCCCCCTCGTACAAATCAGATATCATCTTTCTATTACTAATCATCTGATATATACATGTATCAGTAAAACACTGGACAGCATAAAATTAAATGTATATATCAGAACATGTTCTGTAAAAATCCTTTGGACCGAGGCATGGGTTATTAAAAATGATGGATCATGTGTTCTGGCTGTTTTCGTTTTATTAAAACAATGAGAATAACGGGAAAATCTCTTGCCGGGTAATTTAGGACAAACTGTATTTGTACGAAAGCCTAATAGTGTCAAATGAAATAAAAAATAAAAATACAAAGACGTTATAACGCGAATAAAGGCGTTATTACGCGAATCAAAAGGCGTAATAACGCGAATAAAGGCGTTATAACGCGAATCAAAAGGCGTAATTACGCAAATCAAAAGGCGTAATAACGCGAAAAAAGGCGTAGCAACGCAAATAAAGGCGTAGCAACGCGAATAAAGGCGTTATAACGCGAATCAAAAGGCGTAATAACGCGAATCAAAAGGCGTAATAACGCGAATAAAGGCGTAATAACGCGAATCAAAAGGCGTAATAACGCGAATAAAGGCGTTATAACGCGAAATGAAAGGCGTAATAACGCAAATCAAAAGGCGTAGTAACGCGAATAAAGGCGTTGTAACGCGAACCAAAAGGCGTACTAACGCCAATTAAAACGAATTATAATGCCAATTTAATACCATATTTATACTAATCAAATGGCCTGGTAACGTAAGAAAGCAAGACCAATATTGATCTGAATTTATTCCTCAAGATATAAACTCGTATAGAATAATTTAATATATATTTACAATAACTAACATTCCATTTGCGCAGTAATAATGCAAACTATTTGTCATAAACTAATGAAGACTCTTTAATATTTGCCAATTTAAGGTGTCTGGGTGCCTTATAGGTCCATTGGACTGGACGTAAATACAGTTAATCTGAATTCACATGTATCATATATTGCTTTTACACATGTCACTATAGTAAATGAATTTCTTTTCTTTTCTTATCTTATCTTATCTTATCTTATCTTATCTTATATGTGCGTCATATGTTCAATTATCTTCGGATATATCCTATTTGATTACCTTATAACATCTAGTATCTTCTAATTATGTGAATGCCATTCCTAATTAAGCTATAGGTAATATGCTATAGGTAACAAGATTTGGGAAAACGTAAGGTATAAGTTAGTCACATTAGGGTGATTATTGATAAGTATGTTTAAATGGGGGATAGTGTTTCAGTTAAGTCACAATTATAGGAGACATTCCCTTCTTTGTCTTTGTAGAAAAGTATCTATAGTTGGGTGAAAGTTAACCTTTAATCTGACGAAAGCATTTCCTAATAAAAGATTTAAATCAAAGGGCTGCAAGCTCTGTGGTATTTTCTGATCCCTGCAATCTAAATCGTACTGTATATCTGTATGTGTTTTCCTGTATAAGTTTATTTTTATGTACTATAAGTCATCTTGCAGGGCACCAGAGTTTGATACATACGGAATTTGCATAACTAGAGTTGCATCAAAAAATAATTTATGTTCATTTTTTATGATAGCCACACTTTATCCTTGCATATCGTGGTTACTTCCATAACAAAGACACTAAAAAAAGAATAAAAAAAAATGTTGACTCGACTGGGATTTGAACTCCAGACCTCCCACACAACAAACGAGAGCGTTACCCCTGCACCACGGAGAAGTTTTAAAATCAAAAGATGAATAAAATCAAGTCATTCTAAATTTAGAATTTCCATTGCATTTCGGGTTAGGGTAATTTCGAGGTATTTTGTTCAGGGTAAACCCGTTGTTTAAAATTGAAGTAAATAATTTAGCAAAAATCTTCTCGCCAAAACAGTCCAACATGTAAAAACTATATATTCAACTTCTCGGCAGTCAGATTTATTTGTGTAGTATTCGGTAATCGACGTCGCTAAAAATAGCATTTTCATTGATTAAAATCATATTCATCCGCGTAATTTGTGAGTGTGCATTTATTGACAACTCTATAAGCCAATGCTACTTTAAAAGTTTGAAGGTGTAGTAATTTGTTGGACACTTGTAACAAAAAATTGTTCTTTCTTTTAAATTGCTGGTTTTTAAGCAGTTTTGAGTGAGAACTAATTTGCGTTGTTAGGACTGTTAGGAAATTTTGTGTTAGACCGTGGATGTTAGCTATGTATTATCTGATCTGCGATCAGAAAATACAAAAATCAGACTGTGGCCTTAGGACGTATCCGTACAGAATTGAAAATAAAACGTACGTCTTGATCGATTTATTTAGATCAAATTGTTCTTCCTATCTTACATTACTAGGCCACGGTTTGGAATTTATATGGTATTAAATTAGCGTTATAACGCCTTTTGTTTTGCGTTATTATGCCTTTTGGTTCGCGTAATTACGCCTTTTGATTCGCGTTATAACGCCTTTATTCACGTTATTACGCCTTTTGATTCGCGTTAAAACGCCTTTATTCGCGTTAGTACGCCTTTTGATTCGCGTTATAACGCCTTTATTCGCGTAATTACGCCTTTTGATTCGCGTTAAACCGCGAATAAAGGCGTTACTACACCTTTTGATTCGCGTTAGAACGCCTTTATTGGCGTTAGTACGCCTTTTGATTCGCGTTATAACGCTTTTATTCGCGTAATTACGCCTTTTGTTTCGCGTTATAACGCGAATAAAGGCGTAACTACGCCTTTTGTTTCGCGTTATAACGCCTTTATTCGCGTTATTACGCCTTTTGATTCGCGTTATAACGCCTTTATTCGCGTTATTACGCCTTTTGATTCGCGTTATAACGCGAATAAAGGCGTTACTTCGCCTTTTGTTTTGCGTTATAACGTCTTTATTCGCGTTATTACGCCTTTGATTCGCGTTATAACGCCTTTATTCGCGTTATTACGCCTTTTGATTCGCGTTATTACGCCTTTGGATTCGCGTTATAACGCGAAACAATAGGCGTAATTACGCGAATCAAAAGGCGTACTAACGCGAATAAATGCGTTATAACGCGAATCAAAAGGCGTAATAACGCGAACCAAAAGGCGTAATGACGCAAAACAAAAGGCGTTATAACGCTAATTTAATACCATATAAATTCCAAACAGTGGCCTATTGATGTATGGAAGGAAGAACAATGTTGATTTAAATGAATTGGTCTAGGTGTACGTTTTATTATATGCCCGAAAGAATGCGTCCGTCTGTATGTCTGTCTGTCCGTCCGTCCGTAAGCAATTTGGTTTCGGGAGCATAACTTAAGTTCCATTTGGCCCACAATATTCAAACTTCATAGGAGGATTGTTATTTGAAGGAGGTAATACTTTATAACCTATAAGTCACCAAGTCATCTTATATTGTCAACTATTAAAGAGTCTTTATTAGTTTATGACAAATAGTTTGCATAATTACTGTGCAATTGGAATGAAAGTTATTGTAAATGTATATTGTATTATTGTATACGAGTTTATATCTTGAGCAATAAATTCAGATCAATATTGGTCTTCCTTTCTCGCGAATTTAGTATAAATATGGTATTAAATTGGCATTATAATGTGTTTTAATTTGCGTTATTACGCCTTTTGGTTCGCGTTACTACGCCTTTATTCGCGTTACTACGCCTTTTGATTTGCGTTATAACGCCTTTATTCGCGTTATTACGCCTTTTGATTCGCGTTATTACGCCTTTATTCGCGTTATTACGCCTTTTTATTCGCGTTACTACGCCTTTATTCGCGTTACTACGCCTTTTGATTCGCGTTATAACGCGAATAAAGGCGTTACTACGCCTTTTGATTCGCGTTATAACGATTTTATTCGCGTTATTACGCCTTTTGATTTGCGTTATAACGCCTTTATTCGCGTTGCTACGCCTTTATTCGCGTTATTACGCCTTTTGATTCGCGTTGCTACGCCTTTATTCGCGTTCTTACGCCTTTTGATTCGCGTAATAATGCCTTTATTCGCGTTATAACGCCTTTGCATTTTTATTTTTTATTTCATTTGACCCTATTAGGCTTTCGTAGTATTTGCCTTGATATGGCTGTTAAAATTGTGTAACATAGATAATATTATCTTAAACAAGCAATCAACAATTTGCCATTGTTCACATCAGTTTGATAAGGGTAAATTTGATATTTGAAATGTTTAGGTCACTGTATTATATAAAACTGTTGACTTGTCAGAGGAAAAAGTATGTAAGCGGCCGGATTGTTTTGTTGGTAGAGCCGTAGAATGGCTTGTCCATGATTCTACATTTTTTCAGGCACATTTTTCTCACCCTACCAAGTTACATGTACTCAATACATTTTTAAGTATAAAAGTATGGTGCAAGGCTGCCAACTTCACGAACATAAAAGTATGTATGTATTATAGACTTAATGAGGGTCCATCATCCACCATTTCATGCACTGAGAGTACAGAACATGGACGTGTCACCAATTATGTCCTTAAATGTTATTACTTGATATTTAGAAAACTTTAAAATTCAATCAATTCAATTCAATTGCTAAGCTCAGATATCTATCATATTTTTACAGTTGAACAAAATACATAAAACTGTTGATAGAATTCTAGTAAAAGTAGCCTTTAAAGAACCAGAACTTTACTAGAAATACATTTTTAAAAAATAAGATGCTGGAGAGCTCGTCAAATAATAAAACCCTTTAAACGAGTCGACAGGTCTTTAAAGTGAAAGTAATATTTAAAATATTATATTAGGGAACATATAAACCTACTTGGTTTTATCAAACTACATCCATGGAATGTGTCCATTAGAATAGAAGAAGCTTTATAAATCTAGATTTACAATAATATATTACCCTGTTTGTCCCATACACGCAATATACATGGGCACTCGTCCAAGAAGATTCCTTGCTGCAATGACATTGAAAAAATCCAAATTTTCTTTCAAGTGGAGGCCGTCTGCGACGGTTATTACGCCGTATTTCTTGAACTTCCGGTTCTTCTTGTTCCCTGTTGTCTCGTCCTCTTTGACGCACTTCCGGTTCTCTGTTATTTTGTCTTCTTTCTTGTACTTGTTCTCTTTCCATTTTAGTGAATGTTTACACTCCAAAAGTTGTTAAACCTACAGGGAAAATAAACATCTAAATGTTAAGTGATCAGCTGATATAATGTTTGTACATGGGAACGTTTATTTACACTAACATACACTATTGATAACATGCGGACATATATGATACAATTCATATATTGAATATGGGTATCTTACTGGCTTTAAAGTTCCTTGTTTGAAGAAAATCTAAAAAATTTAGTAAATTGTTTATTGAAAAAATACTATATTTAACAAATAATACATGGCCTTGAGGGCAATATGCAAGTGTACGGACTGATTGGTCAGACTGAGGAAGGTTTATGGCCCGAAGCGCAGCTGAGGGACATTATACCTTCCGAGGTCTGACCATCCAGTCTGTAAACTTTCATTTTACCCGAAAGGCCATGTTTTATTGGCGTCCGCGCCGAAGCGCGGCGCCTTTTATGTAATGAAATCAGATTTTGTGAAAGGGCGACAGCAACTTCTCGAGCCTTTTATAGTTGTTCATAATAAAAGCCGATCATTCCGATCGGTATGAGGGTGCTTGATTATTAATTAGTCGCGATATGTACAATGAATAGCGAACTGGAGAATTTCGCAATGCAAACATTTTCAAATGAAATAACCTTTTCAAATTAAATAACCTTTTCCGTCAATAAATCGCGCTCTTCAAGGTATTTTTATTTATCATTTTGTAGTACACAGTGGATTATTATGGTATGTTATTCCGAAAGCTGTAAATAGAATGATGAGTTGATGACCTAAATATTCCGAAAATCTATTTATAGAGGGATGTACTCCTGTCGGTAATTCCCGGTCTCTCCTGGTCTATTTTGACGACCGCGGAATAGTACCACACGTTTATTGTCCGGTCTCTCCCGGTTTTGGAGTAGATGTTTGATATCGTTACAGAACAGAACAAATATTTTACAGATAAATAAGCTTTTTTCAAAAATGAATGTTTGTCACTTAGTTTGGTTACAATAATTAATAAACACAGATCAACTCTCAAAAATTATTGTTATAATTATACATAAACATACAATTCGAAAAAAAAAAACAACCAACAACACAAATCGCATGTTTTTATTTTATCTATATGAGATAAAAACAATAAATATGAAACAATAATTGAGAAAAAATGTACATTTTTATGGCATTAATATGACACTATCAACTTTGAAACATTTTATTTAATTTGTTATCCGTGTTTAGTAAAGATGCCGAGGAATTATTCAAAGTTACAAATCAGATTTTATGAATTATTCAATTGATTGATAATTTAAGAAATGATAAAGAAAAATACAAATGTACATGTATATGGTTTAAGAATAAACAATATTATATATTGAAAGATTAACCATAATTTACTGACTTTTTCCAGTTAAGTTTTGACTTATAATCGTCGGTCATTATGACAATTGAATTCTTAAAATAATAGTAAACGTAAAAAATCAGTATTAAAATAGTGCATAAAACACAAAAAAAGAAAAGAAAACAATATTCATAAAATCTGTATTTTTTTTTTAAAAAAGATATTACAATTAGTGTATAATAAACATTTATGCTCAACATGGTAATATAACAAGTGTCATATTGTTACTAAGTGTGAACAGATACCTTAAGAGGGGGTCTTCGCTAATAGTGATAACATAATAAGGGACAATTACACAAGTGTGGTGTTGATAAACACTGTTGATCATGCGTTACTCATATGGATTATAAATGATTGAATACATGTATATCCGTTGCTATTAATAATCACGATCATAAAGAAATAACAAGTAATATTCTAATTTCTAGCATGCCAATCAAATTTATAAATAATGAACAATGTCTTTCGTTCGTTCATTCATAAGTGATATACAATTCTGGTAAAAACCAATGAACCATTGAACAGTTTATCATCATATATCTACTAGTTCATCTACACCTGCTGCATTTCTTGCTTGGACGCCCTTTGATGCTTTGCATCAATGCTTTTCTTGTTTGTTATATTATACCGAATCTAAATCCTTTCATCCCTTTTGTTGCTGACATTTTACTATAATTTACTTTCAAATAATAATTTATTTGTTCAGTGTGTGAAACATTGAAATATCATTATTATTATTATTATTATTATTATTATTATTATTTTCAAGCGATACAGCAAAAAAAAATCATGCCCTTCTTTTGTTATTCAATTTTTGTTAATCAAATTAAACAGGCAAAAAAAACCCCGAACTTTCAGATTTAATATGACGTCATCCAGTCCATATAAGAATTATGGACCGCCCCCGGTCTGTATTCGGTTTATGGACCGGATGACGTCATATTAAATATAGAGAGGCGTATGCAAATGAGGTATGATATTATGCCATATTAGTCTCACAATTCGGATAAAGTGTATAATGCACCTTTGTTGAAAGGCTGTCTAATTTATGAATCATAACGTTTTCACATTTATACAGACAAGTGTAAAATTGAAATAAAAACAAATTACTGTTTTTGTTTTTTTCCCTCACGAAATCAGCCAAAGAAAGTACATGCACAACAGCACAAAACATAGTTTAAGGAAGAGGCGGATAAGTAGTAAATGTGTCTGTTTCTGAACCGAGGGATCGCGAACTCGAGCCCTACTCAGTTCACAACTACCGATAGCTTCAAGGAATCGAAAGGGATTGATATAAGACGTTAGCTTCGTTTAACTTTAGTGTAAGCTTAGTCCGAGGAGAGTCAAGGATCGATATACTTCTCAGTCTGGGTTGTCGAAGGTACAGTTTGGAGTATTATAACTTATAGGCCTATGTTCTTGGTATTTCTGGAACTTGCAGGAAGATAAAAATATGAATTACATTTAAAAAGTGCAGATCAAGGCCAAGCAAAATTAATATATACGGCCCTGTAAGATGCACGAACTTGTTTCACAATTGAGTTTTTATAAATGCACATGTTTAAAGGCTTAATTATTGTAAAGTTGTTTATTAGTCTTACCCCTTGCGTACAAGAAGTAGCGTAAAACAGATACGTGACATGTATGATATGCATGTACAATGCAAAATGAAGACAATATTCTTAAATTATTAGAATCTACTTTTTTTCAAAGAAAAAATAAAAAAATAAATAAATGAAATAACAATTAGCCGATTATCAACATTCTTATACAGTTTGTCAACCTCGATTCTGCTTCATGTAGATTTTGTGTACGGATAGGTGACCTTGAACGTCTGCACTACAGTTACAGGAAATGCTACAGTTGAGCAGACGACAATATTTATGACACAGCAGCCGACCGTAGTAGCTCTTCCAATAAGTGGTTATAAAATATCTATTTGACAATGAGTTGAAATATCTGAAAATAATTATTCATTTACATGCTAGGCCTATTCTGAATATCGATTGATTGTGAGATCTACATGTGTACACATTGTATTCTACTTGTTCTAAAAATAAAAATAAATCAATACTGTTAAAAAAAACACTTACTATAACTTGTCTCAACTATAGTATACCCTTGTCATCAAAATGTTTCACTTCAATATTTAAACCCGTGTTCATCCGTTAAAGAAAATATAGTACACTCTTCGGAAAATCATAGCTACATTCAATGCACTCACTGAAAATTCCACTCTACTGTATAGTTAGATAAAGTACATTTTCGGAAAATCTATAGATAAGACGTTTTCGGAAAATTAACCGTTTCGAAATTGGTTTTTTGAAAAAAGTTTATATAGTTCTTTTTAAAAAAAGATCTCCTTATTTCTCTTTAAAATATGACAATTTATAGAAATTGTAAATGAAAATAGGTTAATTCATAACATCAAGGTTGAAGACGACTATTCATTTTTCTTCTTCGTAGAATTTGATATAATGTTAGTGCCTTTAGAGTACAATTTTTTCAATCTTGATACGATAACTTAAAATAAACATCTCATTATCACACGATTCCATGATCTGTCCAAACATGCTTTATTAGTAATAGCACAGTGCGAAAAGTGTGCGTTATTTCAAGTAAAGCACATTTGGTTCTTATATATCGATCAGTGACCGTGGACAATAAATAAATAAATAATAAAGCGTCACTTGAGTCCATCAAACTTGTAAATAACGAGTATATTCAGATTGGGGTACTGGGGATATGGCCTACTGTTTAGTCATCTAAATGGACGTACGCGTCTTTAAACGATTTAATCATGTTTCCTTTATGTCCGCACATTCAATACTTTACGACAACATCTTCCTTTCACTTCATTATGTCATGCTTTGTGCCGAGCGGGTAAAATGTAAATGATAATGTCCCGGAACATAGAATGTATACTCTTTAACGGATACGGAACTTTGGTCTAATTTAAACATGTTGACAAGCTCGGAATATGTTATTTAGTTTATTTTATTATATTATATCTTGTATCAATGGAACTAAATGTAACGTTAGTATATTTTAGGAGTCGAAAGTATGAAATATAAACCTGTTGACAGTATTTCTGATTTGGTTATAACTACTTAAATTCAATCCGATTGTCAATCAAAATTTTGCAAAAATAAGACTATTTTTTTCAATGGAAGACAAAAAGAACTATTCGTTACTCATTATACAAGGACTTCTGTCTTTGAGAAGTCACGTGATAGAACTACTATTTCCGATACGATTATGGTGTACAGTACAGTATGGGTTCTGCTCTGCATGTTTTCAAATAGTCATATACTTTGGTAGCTGGTTTCGGTCTTCGATTAAGGACCTCGAACACAGTAGTATGAATACACAGAACGTATACAGTATTTCGAGACACCTACGCTAAGAAACTAGACACGTTAACAAATAGTTATTTTATGCTGGGAGTTGTTGGGAAGTCTTTTTTTCTCTCCCAATATATCAAGTAAAAGTCCGCTTAAAATAAGTGAATTTATAGATACAAAAGCAAACAATACATTATTTGTATATATATTATTATGGTTGTAGATACCGAAAGTACAAAATGCCAACCTGCTGGCATTAAGTCGGATTTGTTTAAATTTATACATCAGTGGGCTTATCCTAAGCAAAAATGATTGTCAGACATATTTTAAATCAATATTGTACCGAAACAGACTTTATAATTCGTTTGGATGTCAAACATATGCTTTCATTTTACATTATAGAAGATTACACTCTCTGTTTCTGTTTACATCCGAAACCACTTGGTAGAACTATTTGCAAGGTTATTAAAGATAATTGCCGAGGACGTTCCGATTAGGTTTCGGTGATTGTTCATGTATGGCCTCACCCCGGTACGGAATTAGACCCAGTCCGTTGTAGGCTAGAAAATAGTTCTTTGAAATTTTGTAGTGCCCTATTTCAAGTCATTTTTAATGTGACTGGTTACATTTTAAGTGTATTTATTGTAACAGTGTACATTTAGTGTCATTTCTGATGACTTTAAAAGTTGTTTTTTGTGTATTCTGCAGGATCTCATTTCTTGGGGGGAAGGATTCGAGAAGTACTACAAACGGGGCCAGCATACATGACAATTTGAAACTTTTGATAATTTGACAGTACTTAACAATTAATAAATATTGTGAAATCTAGATGGCTAAACATAGGACATTTCGGGCTTTCGACTAACTTGTCTAGTTGTTGATGTTTAAAGTTATGAAATACAGAATTCTGCTGAGTTTAATAGAAGTCCAGAATAAAGCTTTAAATGTGACAAATTTACTATAGAATAAAGAAGGACGAAAAGGGACAAGGCCGTGTCCGTATGTTGAAATAATTCATTTGATACAAGCGTCAGGATGATTTCTTTTTCTTTTCTTTTTTCCCCCAGTGGACTGAAAATGCGGATTTTGTGGCTATAAATGGGAGAACAACCATGCTTGTGACGTGATCGCCTCTGAGGAAGCGACCGAGGCACCTGTCGCTTAGATCATTTTCAGAAGGTTTTCAATTACATTGATTTGTATATAAGAATTTCATTTATAAAAAAAAAATATTCCGCAAGACTTTTATGATTGCTTTTTGCTTTTTTGTTTAAAGAAAACTCATTTGAGATATGTCACTGAAATTGTTGGACAGGGCCTTTCATAGGTGATATGTGAATGCCATTATATTTCTATGGTGAACAGGTGTGTCGTCTTAATGTTATTTTCGTGTTCAATTTATAGTACACTATATAGTTCCAGAGTTTCAAATTGTTCAGCAGGATTTTTTTAAAACGGAAGTTCAGAATTTGATATATTCTACAAAAGAATGTGTTAAGATAACACACAATAACAATGATATTCAAAACGTATATAAATCATCATTATTCTATGTTTTAGTTGTTCTCAGTGAGTATACACGTACATGTATAAGTACTATCTATCTTCTTGTGTAATGCACACACGGGTGCCCGGCCTCACATTTCTGGCACAATTCTGCTCTATGCTTCTTTCGGAAATTAATATTTCTGCACCGTCTCCTCTTTCCATTGACATCTTCAAACTGGCACACGCAGTCCACCTCCTGGCACTCCTTACATATCAGACTTTCTAAGTGGTATGGGTTTCTGGAGCGTTTACACTCTCGACATCGTTGTTTATATCTAACCTTTAAAGATAGATTGAAAACTTTCAGATATCTGAAATAACGTCAAGACAACGGCACTAGTTACAGACAGAAAGTGTCAGATGTGAAAAACATGCCAAAAAATGAAACATTAGAGCTGTATAGACCTTTTTACGACGCGGTCCGTTGCTATGAAAAAATGACCAGAAGTAGTATTTTTTCGCGCATGCGCAATTTGCGTAGGGCAAAAAAAGCCATGCCCTACACAGAAATGAAGAAGAAAATCAATAGAACCAATTCCGAAGTTTGTTTAAGGGTAAAAAATTAGAAAATCATATAAAATAGCTTGTTAACAGAAGAACAACACAAAAAAGATGCCTTCATAGCTTTTGTGGCCAAGATTGACCAAAAAGGCATGGAAAAGACAATGTTAAGAATTCCCCTTACGATCACTGACCTGGACATTTGAGATTATTGTGTGTTAAATATGTGGAAATATATATATATTAGCCCAAATAAAGAAGTCACATTTAATTGTTGTTGAAAACGTCCATATTAAAAAAAAATATTTTATTACATCTTAATATATAACATTTTATAATAAAATTTTATTAACATTTAAATCGAGGCTAAAGTATCATTCTGAAAAAAAAGTCGGAACACGTGATATAATGCATTTTTAGTTTAGCTAATTTTATCCTTTATCCAACTTGCTGAGATGCCAAACCAGATTTTTTTAAGTTCACATAATATATTTAAATAATTTTTCAAACTCTGTGAAGTTAAGATGCGTCGTGGAATAAACACATATTTTTGTCCTGTTCCTTGTAACACATACGAAAATTGCATGTCACCGTAGACCACCTATTTTGGCACTTCACAAAATCAATAAACGAATAACGAATACGAATTTTATTAAGGCATCAAAAACAAAATAATTGCCTTATAAGGCCAATTTACAATGATACACATGTACAGTGAGAAAAAATAAAGCAGTAACCAAATTATACACAAGTTTTTCTGTAAAAGAATACAAGTTAATATGGGAACATATAAGGAACTTGTATTTATCTACAATATAGTTTTTTCACAAAAAATATCAGATTAAGATATACGTTATGATTTGCCCAATACAAAAAAAAAAACATTGATGAGATTGGTATAAATAAAAAATTAACATAAATTACGATTAATCATTTTCATTAATTATAAGTAATTAAACTATTGTCATCTGCTACTAAAACGACCCCGGTTGAATGGTATATTGTTAATAGGCTTTGGCAAATAACAACCGGTCACGTGTCAATCTGTTTGACCACCGCCTTGGCAAATCCACTTTCAAAGGAATACCAATTTTGTAATATTAGTGAATACATGGGTAATAAAAGGTGATCTTTAAACCACCCTGCCCTGTTTAATTTAAATTACTTGATGAAAAACCGTCACCTAATGATACCTTGAACAGAGGACTTTTGGATCGCTTGAATTATAAGTCCGCTTAATTTGTATTATTTTTGTTATAAATATCAATTTCACGTTTTAAGTACTAAACCGCTTTAATTCATTCCCAAAATTTCTTGTTTTCTGGGTGACATTAACTTGAAATCACGCCTTTTAAAGACTTAAGTGCGCTAAATGTATGGTATCGTTATTTGCGCTTTGCCATACGCAAAAATGCGTATGCGCAAAATGCAACATACGTTGCTATGGAAAGATCGTAATGTAAAAAGGTCTATATAAACTATAGAAAACTAAATCACTCGCCGAGGAAGAAACACATAAACAGGACTGGGCGATGAGTTCGAGTGAAGGGGGTATTCGAGCGATCCTAGTTCGAGCGAACGAAGTTTAACTGTATGTAATAAGATATACACAGAGTGGATTGTTTCACACATTGGTTCGTAGACTTATATAGTTCTTATTTTTCATTAAGACGTATTTTAAGATCTGGTCTTAGGCTACATACATTGAAAAACACGATAAATGGTTTTGCTTTTACTCACATTATCTTTTTTCAAACCATATGAAACCTAGAGTACATATATTTTTTTACATTTTTCGTTGAAGGAATGCAATACACATGTGAACTCTCCCATGCCGAACTTCGATAGCAAAAGCATAGAAAATATCCATATTTCCTATCGAGAGGTGTAGATTTTTGAGTTATCTTGAAAAATATCTTACGGCCGTCTTCTGTTTCCCCTGTTCTTATACACAAGTATTTAACCATTTTTCATCAGCTAGATGCACTTTGGTAATTATCTTTCATAAATATTATGTATACATGTACTTCCATGTTTCACGTGATAAATATGTTATCACTATTGCTGTAAATAGATTAACTACTACGAACGTCATTCCATTTTTTAAAAATGTAACGTTAATGTATCATGTGTAAGAAAGTATGGATATCATGTTTCAGATTGCTACGCATTATTACCTGTACACATATAAAGATAATTATATATACAATATTCAGCAGTTCTAGGCGAGTAAAGATTCATCACTGAACGTGATGGAGGTCGAAGAACACCGGTAAAGTGCCAGTCCAATCTGTTCATACATGTATTCTGACCAGGTTCATATTGTTGATCATTTATTTACATATTTTTGTTTGTATCTTGAAATTGGAATCTCTAAAACGGTGAACGGACTGTTTCAAACTAAAGCCGGAAAAATCATGACACAAAATCTCCAGGTTAACGGTTATTTCCAGCTGAAACAGCAGTGCGAGATTTTGCTAGACAATCTGTAAAAATTCTTAAAGTTCGTATTGGCAATAATGCGATACAAGATCAGGTTTAACCGGGTAGGGTTTGGACACCGAGAAACAGTTTATTGCCGATACCTGTTATGTTCCAGACAAATGTATCAAGTGTAAAAATGAAAAAGGGCCATAAGTTCAAAATTAGACAAAGCAGATAACTGTTCTTGTGCACTGCATTTGTACTTAATGAGATCTATCTACCTACTAAGTTATTTGTTGATATCTCTTAACTCTAGTTTAAGACAATGTTGAAAGTGTAAAAAAAAATAAAGAAGGACAATTACTCCAAAAATAGACAAGGCAAAGTTACTGTTCTTCTGCACTGTACTTTAACTAAATGAGATCTATCTACATGTATCTACTAAATTTCTTGTCTTGAAGTTATGTTTCGGACAAAGTTCAAAGTGTAAAAATGAAAAAGGGCAATTATCCAAAATTTGGGAGTTATGGTTCTGATACACTGCACTTCTATTTCATGATATCTATCTACCTACTAAGTTTCTTTTTTGACGTCTCTTGTAGTTTCAGAGTTGTGTCCCGGACAGGAAAATGCGGACGGACGGACAAAGTGGCGACTATATGTTCTACCTTTGGGAAGCATAAACAAACATCACTGAATAATGAATCAATAATTATTATAACTCTCGTACATAAAAATAATACCATAAACCATCAACACATTACTGGTACTAGTAGATGGATATGATCAATCAGGGCAGTTAACTACACTATAACAAAAACAAAATGTTCCAAGTAGATTACATTATACTCGTAAATATATACATTATGATATATTCATATCTTTCAATGCATGTTAAGGTCAGCAAAACATACTAGGTGAGGAAGAAGGTTACCTTAGGGAGTATATGACTCTATTAATATATATCACAGGACGTTTAAAATTAAAGCAAATTTATTAATACATCGTCTTGAAGATTATGATACATCAGACAGCCATTAGGCAATATTGATACATGTATGATATCGTACGGTTGCTTTCACACAAAACGGATATGAACCATAAGTTCTTTTTATTATCAATCCATTGTCCTGAATTGTGTTTGCACTTATAAAGTAAAAAAAAACCCGATGAAACACGCTTGTTTTCTGCAAAATATATAAATATTGGTGTTTAATGAATATTTCTTTCTTTTTTCACATCATTAATTGTCTAGCACACAATGAGCACCAAGATTTTTCCGTACTTCTTTAACGTTATGAGATTTCTCCATTCGTTCAGTCGCATTATGAAAGCATGGACGAAACTCTTTCAAATATTCCTCGTCTGTAAGATCAATAAAAAAGAAAGATCATGAACAATATATCAGGACAATACACTGATCTTTAAAAACATGTATCAGTTATATAGTGGTGTTTCAAGCCAATTAATGACTTACATCGTAATATGACTTTGCGAAAATGTTAACCCTTAACTTGCTGAATTTGGTAGTGGACCATTTGAATTTAGAGGGATTGACAACAACAACAACAACAACATCCCCCCAAAAAAACCCAATTATATAGAGCCTGGTAGCCTGGTCAGACATCAGTGATGCGCAGTCTTGCCTTGCTCTATACTAGTGGGAAAGGGTTTAAATTTCCGGTTCCAGCAAGTTAATGTCGATAATACCAAACTCACAAGGAAGTGGTAGTTTTCCAGAGTGTGCGTGTTTTCAACCTATTATGTCACAATGAAAACACGACGAATAGCAGACCTAGACATTGATACTGTAAAAAATGTGACTTTTTGCTACAGATCTGTCTACCTCCGAGATTCCGGTCTGGCGGTTGAAAGCTAGAAAACACAGGTTCACACACAGGTTATTAATTGCCTGCCCATAAGTCCCCATATCAAAGCCAAGACATGATTTTCATAAAGATTACCCAAACCTAGTCTTAACTCAAAAATGTTTAAAACTAGATGATAATAAAATTCGAACATTTTAAGCACATGATTTGTGAAAAGAAACTAAAATATGTGAACAACAAAAAAAAAAGTAAATAAAACACATCTATAATAGATGAAATATCTTGTCAATGCACACAAAAGAATAAAAGCATAAAATGTTCAGCATAAAATGTTCAGAAGTCTTGAATTCAATCGTACCTGTTACAATAGGTCTCAGGTGTTCGTCAGCAAACAAAGCTTTATAGAACAACATGGTTATATTTAGTGTAGCTGCCTGCAGCTTTTCATTTACTGTCCGAGTCAAACTCAGTACTGCAGACTGCACGAGATCTTTAGTTACAGACCTGAAAAATAGAATATAACTTTTACAGCAATTTCAGCAAATGGAGAATGGTAATTTTATTCTGTGACAATTTTGATTTTACTAAATCTGTTATTTATGCTAGAAATAATTTCAATACTAATTCGTCAATTCTGTAAACTATTCTGCAACTTATATGAGATATTAATTGTTTCATGCAATATAACTGGCAGTTTCATGCTACAACATCTAAATTACTATAACAGAAGAAGATCTTAATTAAAGCTGCATGCCTCCAGAGCAGTTCAAGAAAATCAAAGCTGAGAGAATTGTATTAAGATTTTAAGAAAAAAAAGTAAAAATATTAAAGATACAACTAATAATTAACGTCTTATGCAATCAGAGACTGATTTTGCAGTATTTATTACCGTGACTTACGCAGAAAGGACAATTTTTTCATATTTTCACCTCTTTCGGGGATTATAAGTGCCGTTTGCAATGTATAAACTACAATGTACTTTCTATGTCCACATCACAGTATTTTACTTTTACAGACGCTTTCAAAATTCCATGAAAATTAGAGTGAATCTTGGGCATGCTGCTTAAAGATCTTAATCTTGATAATTTTATTCCTCCAGTTTCTTTAAACGTTTAATACTAATTACTTTTACAATTATATTTATTATTGTTATCGTTATTTGAAAACTCTATTCTTGACAAAATACATTTTAAGCTTTAAAGCAAATAGTAATTTGCAATGACGTGTATTCAAATATCCTATCATGATAATTTAGTTCAATAAACATAAAAATAACAAGAAAAAATATTCTAACAGTGAACTTTATTCGGTCCAACACGGGCTACCTACTATCAGAGATGAAATACATAATAGTTTATACCTGTATCTCACAGCATCAATGACGCTGATTACTATTGCAGGTTCAAGGTCCATTAAGGTCATCTCGCCGCCATATTGTTTTTCCGCGAATTCTATCAGTCCAGGAGGCGCTCCTGTTTCTTCAAGGAGCTTTGCAATAGGTTTGTCTATCACCATTAGTACCATAGAATCTTCGCCACGAAACACGAGCGAGCCAACGTGCACAATTATCTGAATTTAATGTATTTATTTCTTGTTATAATTAAGTTAATAATAATAAAAATATATAGAAACTGGGAAATCTTCTTTAATATTTTAGAGAAAAAATCTTACAAGTTGTTTTAGCTAAAAGTTTTTTGTAATAGTTTTTTCTTAAGTTGTTTTGATTTTGGTGCTTTTTTGCTTAAATCTTTATAGTAATTAAATAATAATTTCAAACGAGATTATATTGTCTCTGTTGCTACATGTTTAACAAAAGTCAGAACTTTGCAATTGTATGTGTATGTTCTTTACCTGTGTCCGGACAAGTTTTCCAAGAAACGTTACATCGATAACAGCAGACTTCCCGAGGTCAGCATCCACATCTACTTTGGTGTTATTTTCAACTCTACTGTTTTCTTCTGTTTCTTCCGAAACCTCACTATGTATATTAATATCTTTATCTACAGTCATATCGTTATTCACCACTGCTTTATCATTAATATTTGTCTCAAGTAATGCACTATTTCTTGTCACAGACGTTTCACTTTCGTTCTGGACATAAATATTTTCTTCTTTATTTTCATTTGTATTGGTCACTGATAAACTTTGCAAAAACTCATTTTCACTGTCACTATCAGATATATCAGCCTGGTCATCATCATCACCACCGTCGGCATCGCATGATTTCCGACGTTTTATGGTCTTTCTCACTAAATGATGAACAAGTTGTTTTGAAAAGTCTTCAGCAACCTCAGCTGTAACATTTCTAGTCACAGAATGTTCTAACTCGTCCTCGCTAACGGATGAATATGTCGTTTCAGTATCTGAACCACCAACTGTGTCGTCAGCGAAAACCAAACGTTTTTCAGATGTCCGGTGATTGTCATACGAACCGACATGTTTGAGTATGCCCTGCGGCTCTTCTTCTTCTATTTTTCCGGACAGAAATTCATTTTTCGAAATCGTCTGAGAACTAGTTACACTTTCATGAAAGTCATCTCCGTGTATCGATTCATTTGTTTCATTATCAAGAGTATCAGGTTTAGCATCTTTCTGTTTTAACCATTGTGACTTCTTTAACCTGTTTCAAAAAGTGTTTTATTATAGTTATAAATACATGCGTAATCGGTTTGTTTAAATTTTCGAAAGCCTGCAATTGATCTTACAACTTTTTCATATGTCTTGAATAATGGGGCTTGAAATGCTGCATATACCTTCCAAGTCTGTGAACGGTATGATATTCTATTGTAACAAATGAACTATGCAATTGAACAACAATTTCTTTACATGACAGTTTTTTTTGATGCGTTTATTTAAGGTCGCCGCTGGAAAGCCCATATGGGCGACCGTACACTCAAGTCGGGTCATCCTAAGAGCGTCCCGCCGAGATTTTTCGTCGATTTTTTTCCCCAGCTTTATTGGTGGAGGAAGACCACCAGGCACGAGCGGGCACCTGGGTAGAACCACCGACCTTCCGTAAGCCAGCTGAATAGCTTCCTCACATGAAAGATTTCGACCCGCGTGAGGATCGAACCTACAGCGGTGAGGGACCTGTGATCTCAAGTCAGCGACTTTAACCACTCGGCCACGGAGGCCCCTTACATGACAGTGAAAGAAATATGAAACATTTGTTCTTAAAATCATTTATTTCTTTTATAATCCTGAATTTGCGAATCACGGTCTAAAAACGATTGATAGAATAGGGATTTTATGTGTTGAAAATTGAGTACCACTCCAGCCGATGCTTGGGGGGGGGCTGAGCCACATTATGCCTTAAAAATCCGTTTTTTTTTAATTGTTTAAAAAAAATCTAATGTTTAATGTTTAATCTAATGTTTAAACATTTGTTTAATAATGTCTATTTAATGGAATTAGAGCATGTAAGATGTTTTACAACTAAAGAAAATAGCACAAAGGGTGAAGTAATGTGTCATAAAGAAAGCAAAATGTAAACAAAATAGTATTTAGACTTCCATACAAAATACTAATTCGCCATAATTATATCAATTTCCAACAGATCAAAGAAAGCAAAAAGGTACTTCATGTAGATAGAAAAAAGTTTTATCTTTTAAAATGTAACAAGATACAAAAATAAAAAGTTTTTGAAAACAAAATTTCATAGCATTTTTGAGGCATAATGGGCCTTTAAAGCATGTCACCTAAATATTCTGTTATTACATGTTTACATGTACTTACTGAAGCTGTGGTAGTTTGGCATAATAGAATATAAATTTCCTTCCTTCTGTGTTTACACCAAGATCATTTCCAAATGTTTTCATAATTGCCTGTATTGTTGGAATACCTTCCCTAAAGACATATTCTACAAGGTTTTCACACTGTTCTATGACCCTCGTAATATCTGTATCCGACGAATGTTCTACAAAAATAGAAAATATATTTTCATTGATAATATTAATATTGAATGAAGACAGTACAACCACTGCAGAGAAGCCCTCTATTAAACAATAACATCTATACAACAACAGTATCAATTCTTCCCAAAGTAAGACTTCGTAATGATTTTTTCCTACAGAGCAACATTTCTACGCAACAACCAAAACCTTTGATTCCAAAAGTGTGTTGCTCTACTGAGATATTTCTGTTTATTTCCTAATGACCTGTGTGATAAACAGCTCTGGTAGCCAGGTCTTTAGCAAATTTATGTACTAAGTTTGTACTTTCATGACACCAAAATATGAAATCAATTGGCGCTCATTACTTTTTCTTAGTTTATTCAGCATTTAACAATTTACAAATAAATATACTTTTTTTGTTTGTTTTAGAATCTGTTTCTTTAATTATGTTTACAAGAGTCCATTACCTATTTCAGGAGCGATATAGCACACACATATAGCGAAAATGTAACCTAAAAAATGAGTTTTGGAGCCGAAAGTAAGTCATGGTTTTGCAATCAAATAAGTGCCTATTACAGACACCAATCAAAGACTATTTAGCAAGGTGCAAGAAATCCCTACATTGCCTTGTTTTAGGACAGGGAACCCTGACGCCATTTCAGCAAAGATACCACGCAACCATCTCGAAACCATCCTCGCCGTCCAAAATCTTAGTTTAGGGACACTTTCCTAAGTATTAGTAACAGTATCAGCACTCGATTGTACAGAATCGTCAATGCATGCCGGCGCTCTTTGCGTTTCCCGGGACGAGCTTGTCAGAGGAGAATGAAGTGCACTGCTGTTCCTTATAATGCGCTATTGGCGACGAGCCATACATTTTGCCTAGCTATTTTGGTATTATTATCTTACTCTTTACTGTCAGTTGCTCAATCTATCTTAACATGATTTTTTCTATTGAAACCCTTTCATATAACGACGGGTAGCTTCAAATAAAAAAGGGTAAGTCTAGCAAACAAAATATAATGTTACTTCAAATTAAAAAAGGGTAAGTATATAAACAAAATATAACGTTTGTTTAGTAACTTTATTTCTGACCTGTATCAAGCCAGTGGCTTAAAACGTTGATGAAAGTACTGGCTATATTAGCAAACACGCGACATGCCGACCTTGACAGATTCACGTTCATTTCGTGGTACTTCACCGACCGTATTACCAGATCAAGACCAACTTCACGAAGTGGTGCCTGAAACAAAAGTTCAATCTCCCCAGTTCAGAATTTTCGCAAAACCTGGTAAAGAAACCAAACAACTTTTGCTACATATTTTCAAATGATCAAATACACTCGCCGATCCCTGTGTACTGTAATACCATAATTAAAGTACAGTTGGTATACACGTATGTCATTCTTATAAAATTGCAATGTCTGGTAGTCTCTATTAAATTGTTGGTGTTGTTTTTTTTTCTCCACAGACTGTATTGAACAGTCGAGTGTCAAAGGTCCGCTCATAAAAATAATAATAAAATGATCCCTTAAATTTTCTTGGCCTATTTCCTGTGTTCTTTAAACTAGCCCATATACTATGATATTAAAACCTTCGGGTTTTTCTGGTATATAGAAACTGCAATTATGCTTCTTTACCAATTGATTTTACCTTTCTTTACATTTTAAACTATAACAAACTTTATATTTCTCTATATCGTATTTACGGAAAGACACACCCACAATATAACAACAAAATGACCATCAGTTATGCAAGTAGCTATTTTGCATTGAAAGCAAACATGTTTTTTTCTCTCCTCCATAATATCGTTTGAGTTATGACGGTGTTAGACAATGTAACATACTCCGACATACCTTTTTATCGAGAGTTGGTTTGTATGTTGCTATTTTGGCTAGGATGTCAACGCCGTACTGCTGGACTTCTACAACATCTAGATATGCCGACATACTTCCTAGAACAGCAGATGTCGTCTGGTAGTGTATCATCGTTGTCAGATTGTTATCAAAGTGACTAAATGTACGAAGTAGGTCCAATATTAGAATTACTCTTTCAACAGGATCCTGGAATGGTACAGATGTATATATTAATTTGATCTCTGTCAAAATAAATAACAGTTAAACTTAGCATACATAGTACATGTACAAGTAAATTAGGGTAATAAGGCACATATTTGGATTTACATTCTATTAAAGTTATGAATGTTTCTACTTGCTTGCTTGTAGATAAAACAGTCAAACCTTAGACAAATATATTAATTTAACGGATGTCTAAAAAAAGTAAAATAATTGTATTTCATTACTATTATATCAGAAAATTTTGTTTCTTTCCGTATCTGATGTTAAATATCAGAAAAGCGATAAGTTGACATGATCTTTTAATACTCCATGTCAAATCGATGCTTATTGGAGATTGATACTTTGTTTTTGTTTGTTTGTTTCATTTTACGCCTTTTTCCAACTGTACAGTATTTCAGTCATATAGGCGGGTAGTTTCCTAACCATCGTTCCTGGGGAGTTACACCAGTACTAGACTACCTTCCTCCGCGCTAAACAACCAAAGCATCTCCTGGGGATCGAACCCACGCCAGAGAGGTAACTGGATTAGAAGTCATCGACTCTAACCCCTCGACCACGGAGGCGGTCTCAGAAACTGACAAAATATGCCAACTTTACAATGTGACTTATGCTGGATAGAGGCATTAAAAGGGTGTGGTATTGATATGGATAAATAGATAATGTTCACTAAATAGGTTACGTATTATAATATACAGTGTACAAGTGAGAGATATTCATGTATGATATTGTTTCAATAAAATTTATGTATATCTTTAATTTAGAGAGTCAAAAAGTGAAATGTTACTGTCCATCAGACTTCTTACGTAAGTTTTTTGTAGTTCTTTTCCTACGCAAATAATGCATGCACAAGAAAACAAAAACATCTAACCTATTCACATAGCTTTTTCAAAAGATCGTGGCCTAAAGATAACATAGCACAGAAATATCAACAAACATTTCATCAGAAATCATGAGATATAAATTTGTCAGTAAGTTCTAAAGTAAATGAATGTTCCAAGTGGAACTCTTTTGTGAGTAAACATTTTAAAGGGAAAGAGATGTGTTGAAGCATTCTCCATATTCAGACATCATGGAATTAAAATGGTATCCATATTAGTATAATTGAATGAGCCGCGCCATGACAAAACCAACATAATGGGTTTGAGACCAGCATGGATCCAGACCAGCCTGCGCATATGCGCAGTCTGATCAGGATCCATGCTGTTCGCTATCAGTTTATCTACTTGTTATACGGTTTGTAAGCGAACAGCATGGATCCTGATCAGACTGCGCGGATGCGCAGGCTGGTCTGGATCCATGCTGGTCGCAAACGCACTATGTTGGTTTTGTCATAGCGCGGCTCATTATTATGGTAGCCGTATATATATATTATAATGGTAGCCGTATTCCTTCATCATTCAGATATAAACATGGACTTGTCTTGCTTTCTAGGACAAGACAGACTTGCCTTACTTTAAATTATAGAACAACATAAGACTTCGCTTCATGTATAGGACAATATTGACATGTCCTACTTTAAATTACGAACAACATAGATCTCGCCTCATGGGACTCGCTTTACATTAAATGATAGAACAAAATAGACTTCGCTTCATGTATAGGACAACATAGTCTCGTCCTACTTTAAATTGTAGACAACATAGAATCGCCCAATGTATAGGACAACATGGACTCGTTCTACTTTATAGAAGAACATGAACTTGTCCTACTTTATAGAACAACGTGGACTTGTTCTGCTTTATAGAACAACATGGACATGTGCTGCTTATAGAACAACATGGACTTTTTTTGCTTAATAGAACAACATGGACTTGTTCTGTTTTATAGAACAACATTGATTTGTTCTGCTTTATAGAACAATATGGGCTTGTTCCGCTTTATAGAATAACATGGATTTGTTCTGCTTTATAGAACAACATTGATTTGCCCTGCTTTATAGAACAACATGGACTTGTTCTGCTTAATAGAACAACATTGATTTGCCCTGCTTTATAGAACAACAATGATTTGTCCTGCTTTATAGAACAACATGGACTTGTGCTGCTTTAAAGAACAACATGGACGTGTGCTGCTTTATAAAACAACATGGACTTGTCCTGTTTTATAGAACAACATGAACTTGCCCTGCTTTATAAAATAACATGAAATTGCCCTGCTTTATAAAACAACATTGACTTGTCCTGCTTTATAAAACAACATTGACTTGTCCTGCTTTATAAAACAACATTGACTTGTCCTGCTTTATAAAACAACATTGACTTGTCCTGCTTTATAAAACAACATGGACTTGTCCTGCTTTATAAAACAGTATTGACTTGTCCTGCTTTATAAAACAACATTGACTTGTCCTGCTTTATAAAACAACATGGGCTTGTCCTGCTTTATAAAACAACATTGACTTTTCCTACTTTATAAAACAACATGGACTTGTCCTGTTTTATAGACCAACATGAACTTGCCATGCTTTATAGAATAACATGAAATTGCCCTGCTTTATAAAAACAACATTGACTTGTCCTGCTTTATAGAATAACATGAAATTGCCCTGCTTTATAAAACAACATTGACTTGTCCTGCTTTATAAAACAACATGGACTTGTCCTGCTTTATAAAACAACATTGACTTGTCCTGCTTTATAAAACAACATTGACTTGTCCTGCTTTATAAAACAACATTGACTTGTCCTGCTTTATAAAACAACATGGACTTGTCCTGCTTTATAAAACAACATTGACTTGTCCTGCTTTATAAAACAACATTGACTTGTCCTGCTTTATAAAACAACATGGCCTTCCTCTGCTTAATTCAATTAGCATGGCCTTCCTCTGCTTAATAAAAACAACATGGCCTTGCCCTGCTTTGTAACAACATGGCCTTGCCCTGCTTTAAAAACAACATGGCTTTGCCATGCTTTATAAAAACAACATGGTATTGCCCTGCCTTATAAAAACAACATGGCCTTGCTCTGCTTTATAAAAACAACATGGCCTTGCCCTGCTTTATAAAACTTCACAGATTTGTCTTGCTATTCAGTGATTTACCTCTAAAAAATTGTATTTTGAGCCACCAAAAGTTAAGAGCATGGTCATAATGTACGGACGTGAAAGCTTGTTTGGGTTTAATTTTCATGTAGGATGAAGGGTTGAAATTCAATAAATAAATTCAGGTAAATCAGTAAAGAACCTATCTAGATGCACCACAATAAAACAAGTCACACTGCCGAATGTGTTTTACTTACCTTTACAGCTGTAATTTGGAACATGAATACATGAATAGTCAGGCTGCATTACGAAACACAGGAAGTTTCAAAATCAATAAACTTTAGCAAATACATAAGGTGTTTATACAATTATCAAAGATTTTGTTCTTATACTACTTTACTATATTTTTTATAAATTGAAATAATTTTAAATATTTTTTGATCAGCTGATAACGCTAAGTAATCATGTTTCAAACAAACATAATTATAATGTATTTAATTATTACGACAGGTGCACGTAGCGGAGCCAGGACACAAAATGAAATATTCAGCTGTGTGCAGTAAAGATTTAACTAGTAGTCCTGATTTAACCCGTTCTTGCACTAAGCCAATAAAACATAATTTTGTTAAAGGGACTCCACTGAGGTTTTTTGATATGACGGGACTGGAAATATTTTTTTTTTGAGATTTTTACTCCATTTGAACTTATGTGCAAAATTTCAGATCATTAGATCGCTCCGTTTTTCCAGAATAATTATTATAATAGTGAAAAATGACCCAAAATTGAAAAGCGTATAAACACTTTTCAAACAAATCGGACTGAGAAAAGCAGAAACCGATGATTTTCAATGTATTTCTTGTATACATGTATTTCTTAATTATATTTTATTTATATTTCTGTTTTAAGTGCTCGTGTTTATCTGTGTGAAAAATTAAAATTTTATGTTTTTAGGCTAAGTTAATGTAAACCGTATAAAAATCTTAACCGTATGAAACTTACGATGCATTGTTTAAGTAGCTCTGTGAGGAACCGTACAGCAGGGCCATGCATAGGTCTAGTGTTCGATTTATCAGGAACCTTAGCCAGTGCTTTGGATAAATCTGATAAGTAGTTCATGTAAATTTCCCTGCAATCTTCTACTGTATCCTGAAATACACACAAAACGTCTAACTTATGTTAAAGAGACACATCTAATTAGAAGCCATAATTTGTACAACAAAAAGAAGACAAAATCGATAAATCTAATCAGACATGAGAACATTATTATTATTATATCTTGTCTTATTTATACCAACCACCTCTACATTGAGGACATACCTTACAATTCACTAATAAGGCCGTTGTTGAAGGATTTCGCTTTATTTATTTTTTCAACCTTTAGTGATAAGTAAGTGAACCGGTAATCAATTTTGGTTACAAATAAAGATATAACATTTTATCACGAGATCTTAGAGCGGTGTTGTATACATCCGTAGGGAAGATATTTGAACGGATAAATAAATAACCGATCATATTAAAGTTTTTTTGTTATAAAAATCAGTTTAGTTCTGTTCGATTTATACGTGTATGCTAGCTATATAATGTAAACATGAGAAGAGATATGTTAAATGTTTCTTTCAGTTCAACATAGCTGTAATCATTTTATTTGTCCTAGTTTATATTATAGTCAAGTTCTCCCCATTTGCATATGAAAGTATGATAACGAATATTTCAATGAAATAATCTTCATCTAGATGACGAGGTATATAGTAAAACCTGAGAGTTTATAATAAAAATGACTTCAGCTATAATCAGTATGAGCTAATGTTTACCATGAACAGACGAAATACGTCGTCTAATAGCTTTTGGGTTATTGTCGCATCTGTAAACATCCGTAATTGTTTAGAAAAATAACTAGCTGACAAAATACTGATCTGCTCAGGCGTTTCTAGGTTACGGAACAAATCTTGCTCGGAGTCACGTAGATCCAGCATGCACCAACTCGTCTCTAGCCATCTTTTGTCAGCATTGTCTTTTTCTTCTGTATCATCTTCAGCGTTATTATGCGTTTTCGGTTTGGAACTGTCGTCTGCTGTAGCGTTCTTTTCACCACTTCCTGTCTAAAAAAATATGTAAATCAATATGAAATTTTGATTTTTTGATATGGATTAAGCAGCTGCTGTATAACTTCTTCCATAACTTGCGTAAAAAAATAACGGTATATTGATATGTTTCCACCTTCTATCACTTCTTGACTACGAAATATATTAACCCTTGACCTTCTTGAACCGGAAGTGATTAGTTTTTGCCAGCAATATAGGATCAGGCACGTCTGTACATATGGGGGAATCTGTACTCTATTTACTGTTCTCAGGTTTTGAATTTTGATACTGTAATCGCTAAAACGAAATGAATTTTTCAAACTAAAAGCAAGGAAAAAAATACACAATTATCAAAAGACAACACGAAACCTATTACAAAAACATTTTATATCTAGTATTAAATAGATCAATGAAGGTATTTCCTCTACATGTAATTATGCGTTAGTCTTATCTGTCTAGGAAGTTGTGTAAATAATTGTGTGCGATTTCATAGGGAAAGAAAATAACTTCACTTTCATAGAAATCATCTGTTTAAAATTGGATTCATATAATGTAATGATATTACACATGGTCTTAAATGAAAGGGTCTTTAAAATTTTGTAATACACGAAAATCAAATAAAAAAATATTACTTCATTTTAAGTATATAAATAAGCTCAAGTTTATATAAGATTTACACACCATTACTCAACAGTATCTTACATTCTATCTATGCAGGCAATTTACAAGTCTTTAAGAGAGTCAAAGAGGCATTGCAAGTTTCACGACGAGGCTGACAACTTTTGTAAAGCTGTTAACATAACATGGTATTTTTTATGCCAGTACAATTAGACAAGAAACATGGCAATGCCATGAAACCAGGTTTTCAATTATCAGCATTGTAGATAAATATGTTGTATTTGAAATACAAATACAAGCAACAAGCAATGTAAAACATGAATAATGTAGGAGGAATTGCCACAGAAGAAGTTGTTCAATATATATTCTATATAAGGAAAAAAAACAAAGAACCATAATTAGGTAAAAAATTATCCAATCACAAAACCCCGACAAAATGCGCCAGAGCACTTGATGACAAAGCTTCTGTGAAAGTTTGAACAAAATCCATTGAGAAATGTAGAACGAGTTCAGCACAGAAGAATTTGTTCACTATATATTGATAATTCTATATAAGGAAAAAAAACAAAGGGCCATAATTAGGTCAAATATTATCCAATCACAAAACCCCGACAATATGCACCAGGGCACTTGCTTACAAAGCTTCTGTGAAAGTTTGATCAAAATCCGTTGAGAAATGTAGGAGGAGTTCAGCACAGAAGAAATTGTTCACTATATATTCTATATAAGGAAAAGAAACAAAGGGCCATAATTAGGTCAAATATTATCCAATCGCAAAACCCCGACAATATGCCCCAGGCCACTTGATGACAAAGCTTCTGTGAAAGTTTGGTCAAAATCCGTAGAGAAATGTAGGAGGAGTCCAGCACAGAAAGAAATTGTTCACTATATACTCTATATAAGGAAAAAAAAACAAAGGGCCATAATTAGGTCAAATATTATCCAATAGCAAAATCCCGACAATATGCGCCAGGGCACTTGATGACAAAGCTTTTGTGAAAGTTTGGTCAAAATCCGTTGAGAAATGTAGAAGGAGTTGCGCACAGCCCGCCCGCCCGCCCGCCCGTCCGCCCGCCGACATACCTCAATCTAATAACCAGTTTTTTCCTTCGGAAAACCTGGTTGAAAAACGCTTTTATATACCATCTGTGAGTTATTTGATCGTGTGTATTACAAAGGATTATGGCGAAATAATATTGACAGTATATTCTCGTAGTTTAATATATGATTACCTAGATTTTAAGTGTTTGTTATCTTATTTGTTTATTTATTTATCTTTCTATTTAAGTGATATCAAAATATTTCTAACTTAAATAAAGATTTTAAATCTTAAAATCTATGTTTATAACTTCTTACAGAGGTGACAGATTTTTTGTTTCTTGATGGTTTGGCTGGGGGATCACCAACTGCGAGCCCGGGGGTAGGGGGTAGTTTTCTCCGTCTTCTAGGTATAGGACCATCTATAAACATTAACTTTTTGTCTGCAATCTCCAGTTTTGTACCTGTTAGATATAGAATAGATTTTTAGCTAGTTCCTAGTTTTACAACATTTATCGTGGGACATTATTACATTATATTTGACAAAGGAAGAAAATAACTATAGTTAACAGATTTAGTTAGCATCCACAGTTTTTACATTAATATAATTTATTCAAGCCAATGCCGTCGTCAAAGAAAAGCCGTTTATGTGAAGTTATTATGTATAACAGATGCTTTTTTTTCGAAAGCCAAACTAAAACGCTGACTTTGAACGACATATGATATTCTATGTCATTTTCATTCCGAAAACCGCCTCCGTAGTCGAGGGGTTAGAGTCGATGACTTCTAATCCAGTTACCTCTCTGGCGTGGGTAAGATCCCCGGGAGATGCTTTGGTAGTTTAGCACGGAGAAATTAAGGTAGTCTAGTACTGGTGTAACTTTCCAGGGACGATGGTTAGGAAACTACCCGCCTATATGACTGAAATACTGTTGGAAAAAGGCGTAATATGAAACAAACAAACAATTCATTCGGGAATGTTCTTAAACATAGGTTACTACGGTGGCACAAAAGTGACATGTATGAGTGGGTGTGTTTATTTATCTCGTGCGCACGAGATACTTTGTCGTGGCCACGAGTTACTAAGTCGTGGCCACGAGATAGTTAAGTCGAGGGAACGAGTTACTATGTCATGGCCACGAGATAAATAAGTCGTGGGAACGAGATACTATGTCGTGGCCACAAGTTACTAAGTTGTGGCCACGAGATAATTCAGTCGTGGGAACGAGATAGTATATCGTGACCACGAGATACTAAGTCGTGCGCACGAGATAAATAACCAATCAGAAAACACTATTTTTTTTTAATTTTCCTAATTAACTAGACATGTTCAATAGTACAAGGATGCCCCTACTTCACCTGCCTGTAAATACAAGTTATTGATTGGTCAATGATTTTATATTTAGCGTATTTGGCCTTATTAGATGTCATCTACTAATCAGGTACATGACTTATTTATCTCGTGCCCATGACTAAGTAACTCGTGGCCATGACATAGTATCTCGTGGCCACGTGTCATAGTATCTCGTGACCACGACTTAAATATCTCGTGGCCGTCGTACGACTTAGTAACTCGTTTTCTAGAAATATCATATATATATTGTGTGTAATCTGATAGGTTAATTATCTCGTGCGCACGCCTTAGTTATCTCGTTCCCATGAATAAGTATCTCGTGCCCACGACTTAATTTTCTCGTGACCACGACCTATTAACTCATGGCCACGACATAGCATCTCGTTCCCATGACTTATTTATCTCGTGCCCATGACTAGGTAACTCGTAACATAGTATCTCGTGCGCACGAGATAAATAAAAACACACACACACACATGTAACCTTTATGCCACTGTCGGTTACACAATAACAGGGATTATATTTATACATTATAATTCAACTTACCATCGATCAAATGCATTTCTCCAGAAAGTGGGTCATTTGAATTAATATAGCAGACGAGATCAGAATTGGCGGGAGATAAAGTGCAGCCGCCATTTTCTTGTAGTGTTAAGGTCAGTAATACCATACATAGATTCTCATCGTTCGTTTCTATGGAAACGTCACCACTTGTTGACAATCCTTTACGATGAAGAAAACAAATGAAACAAATAAACATGGAGCGTAAAGCTGCATTTTATAAATTTCATAAAAACAAAAGTGGCTACATTTCGTTAAAAGTGTGGGTGACCTGCAGACACTCGTTTCTTATTTTGGTGTAGGCCTACATATGACCAAATTGGACAAATTAGAACTATTGCCACGGTCAAATTTATTACAGATATTTCTCTGTCATTGTATTTTTTCTTGTTTGTGTGTAGGAAATGATCAGTATTTATGGGTATTTAACGGAAACAAGGCATTTTGGTTGTTTTTTTTTATGTTTTCCTGACTCTCCGTACAGAGGTTAGAAAGCTGAAAATCAAACATTGACATTTGGCGCCAAACAAGTATGAAACTGAAAAATATAAATGTATGACTGACTGGGCATTTATGCCATTGCAAATGCCATTGATTACACTGTATATATTGCACCATCGATCTGTGGCATCCAAATTTTGTTGAAGTTTACTTTAAAAATCATATAATGTATTATAATTAAATTAAATTAATAATTGACTAAATTCTGTAGATCTATTGAAAAAAATATGGGACAGCTTTTAGTGACTTTAACTGGGAAACTTCAAATGGGCAGTTAAAATTATCAGTGGGGTAACACTTAGCATTGAATAGCCTTAATACCTTAATGTCAATTGCACAATAAACCACATTACCACCGAGTATATGCACTACTTTTAAATACATGTACCTTCTTCAAATCTATCTCAATCGGGCGGTCTGACATAGTACAGTATTGATCATTTGAAATAGGTAGTATAACTTACATCCTGTTAAGTGTAAAAATTAAAAAAATCTTTACCTATAAAATAAATCCCAAATCCAGTGACAGATACATCTTTCTTCTCTATCAAATCTTTAAATGAAACTGTTTTAGTTTGACCATTCTCGGCCATATTGTTGTCATAAATCAAACCACATTACAACTGCTCGTATATACACATACACATGACGTTTAATCATCTCGGGTACATATATTAGTACTTACTTTCGTTTTTGCTTATCACGTGATCAATGCCCTATATATAAACGTGTGGGTATATCGTCGCTTTATCGGTAAGATAGTTTTCTCCCTTAGATAAAATATTTAACATTTAATATTAAGCTACAGACTCACTGACATCCCGGCAGAGCCCCGGTAGACGTCCGGGGTGATCCGGGAACGACCGGGGTATGACCGAGAACAACCGCGGTACGTCCGTAACTCTGCCGGCACATCCGGGATGATCCGGATTCGATCCCGGTTGAAATAAAATATTTGATATCACCGGGGTGATCCGGGATGGTCCGGGAAGTAAAGCTTTGCCGGCCTCATCCTTAGCTCTGCCGGGAACGACCGGGGTTACACCGGGGAAGCTCCGTAGCTCTGCCGGCACAAACCGGGGATCATCCGGGGTATGATATAGTCGGTAGAGCTACGGAAGAGCCCCGGTGAATGCTGGCAGAGCCCCGGTGAATGCCGGCAGAGCCCCGGAGGATGCCGGCAGAGCTACGGTTGATCCCGGTAGAGCCCCGGCAAAGCCCGGTTCATTCCAAAAGAACCACGACAATTTGCGATGATTGCACTTGTTTGTATTAAAACCCTTCCCATTCCCCTTCTATCCAGTTTTGCATAAAGCCTCAGTCTCACTTACTCCCGGCAGAGCCCAGGATCATCCCGGTAAGTTACCGGGATGATCCGGGACGATCCGGGGTGAAATTATTGTTGCGGTCACACTTACCCCGGCAGCACTACGGTAGTTCTCAACTAACCACCCAGGATGCGCTCCGGATCATCCAGGCAGAGCCCAGGTGCAGCTACGGTTCATGCCGGTGCTTCCCCGGTCGTTCCCGGATGACGCCGGAAGAGCCCCGGTTGACCCAGGCAGAGCCCCGGTCGATCCAGGCAGAGCCCCGGCAGAGCCCAGGACGATCCAGGCAGAGCCCCGGTAGAACCCCGGTGGATTGAAAACGCCCGAAAATGATAACATTGATACATAATTTTTATTTAATATAATATCTATTGTTCCAGAATAGTTATTCATGATGATTTTCTGAAAAATCCTGATGCCATACTGGATAGAAGGGAAATGAGAGGGGTTTTAATACCAGCAAGTGCAATCATCGCAAATTGTCGTTATTCTTTTGAAATGATCCGGGCTTTGCCGGGGCTCTACCGGGATCAACCGTAGCTCTACCTTTATCATCCGGGGCTCTGCCTGTAGTTGCCGGGGCTCTGCCGGCATTTTCCGGGGCTCTACCGTAGCTCTACCGTAGCTCTACCGGCTATATCATACCCCGGATCATCCCCGGTTTGTGCCGGCAGAGCTACGGTGCTTCCCCGGTATAACCCCGGTCGTTCCCGGCAGAGCTAAGGATGAAGCCGGCAAAGCTATACCTTCCCGGATCATCCCGGACCATCCCGGTGATATTAAATATTTTATTCCATCCGGGATCGAATGCCGGATGTTCCCGGATCATCCCGGATCATCCAGGACGTTGCCGGCAGAGTTACGGATGTACTCCGGTTGTTCCCGGTCGTACCCCGGTCGTTCCCGGATCACCCCGGACGTCTACCGGGGCTCTGCCGGGGCTCTGCCGGGATGTAAGTGAGACTGTAGCTTAAGGATTTTTCAGAAAATCATCATGAATTACTATTCTGGAACAATAGATATTATATTTAATAAAAATTATGTATCAATGTTATCATTTTCGCGCGTTTTCAATCCACCGGGGTTCTACCGGGGCTCTGACTGGATCGTCCCGGGTTCTGCCGGGGCTCTGCCTGGATCGACCCGTGCTCTGGCTGGGTCAACCGGGGCTCTTCCAACGTCATCCGGGAACGACCGGGGAAGCACCGGCATGAACCGTAGCTTCACCTGGGCTCTGCCTGGATGGTCCGGAGCGCATCCTGGGTGGTTAGTTGGGAATTACCGTATTGCTGCCGGGGTTAGTGTGACCGCAACAATAATTTCACCCCGGATCGTCCCGGATCATCCTGGTAACTTACCGGGGTGGTCCTGGGCTCTGACGGGAGTAAGTAAGACCGCAGCTTTAAGAAAAGCGTTTTTGATTTTTATCAATTTCCCAATGAATATATAACAGGGATGAAAAACCAAAATTGCGTCGTATCCTACACAATGTAAGCAAACGCCACCATCTTGAAACAAAAAAAGGTATGTTTTTGTATATAATTATTGGCGACGCCGGTGACACCGGGGAGGAACTTTTACACGAAGGATGGAGTTCTTATGATAACTTGTTTGGAGTTCTTATGATAACTGTCTCGGATTTGCTGGAAAACGTTACGGATTTCTGTGGTATACTTGGAGAACTCAGATTTCAGATCATTCGCCCACTCTGTTTTTCCAGAATAATAATAATAAAATTGACCAAACATTGAAAAGCGTTGCAACGCTCTTCACTCAAATTGGTAAACGGCTAGCACAAAAATAAGATTTTCAAAATTCTGAGTATGTTTTCTAATTATGTTTTGCACATATTTTTGTTTTATGTTCTCTGCTATGTCTATGTTATAAAAGTAGAATGTTATATTTTTATATATACTTTTGTACATCAGTGGAGTTACTTTAAGGGATATTGTATCTATATACAAATTTACATCACAGCCAGTTTTTACTGAAAAGGTAAATACAAAAAAGGAAGAAAAATCGCGGAAGGTACAGATGTTATTTTCGGATTAACTTATCATAATGGTGTGCCCATTATTTAAATGCCAAAATCGCACTTTTTAAGAATTATTTCAAAACACTAAACATTTTATTTCTAATTACATATGTAAATCTCAAAGACACGTGAAAACATGCATATAAAATCAGTAATCAGTAATCTTTGACTGCTAATGTCACGAAATTATGGAAAATGTTTTCTATTTTGATGAACTTGTGTATATTTGTGACCAATGTGTAAAATAGCAGGCTTTTTTCTGTATACCAAATCCATAGGGGATTTGAAACCTTGTTTATATACTTAAAATAACCTAAATATGTGTAAAATAGAAAGTAATAAAGAATTCCCAAAGAACGCACAAAACTACAAAATTGAAAATGTTGCAGACTCAGTTTGATTGAGTCTGTTCAAGGACGATAATGGAAAAGTGCAAATAGCTAGTGAGCACCGGCTTAAACAATATTCAACATTGAACTTGAAATTGTAAAATTTGGAATTTAGAAACATTTGCAAATAATTTTTATGTTCATATGTTTGGTTATTATGGTACCTTCGCTGTGACACGGTAGTGTCTTTCCATGAAAAGCGACGTATCATATGGGCGGAACTAAATAAAATGGAATTGATACTTGTATTTGTGATGCATGTAGCTTCTCGACATATTTGTATCCATATGTAATAGATATAGTACATGAAACGAGTTAGTTACGAGGATATAAAACTGAAGGGATGTTTCTGCTAAAAAATGGCGAGGCCGTTAGTCCGAGACAATTTTTTGCAGAAACATCCCGAGATGTCGCCCAGCCAGTGTTATATCCTCGTAACTAACGAGTTTTTGGCGTCCGCGCCGAAGCGCGGCGCTCTTATGGAATGAGATCAGATTTTGTGAAAGGGCGACAGCAACTTCTCGAGCCTTTTAGTCGGTCATAATAAAAGCCGAAAATTCCGATCGGTATGAGGGTGCTTGATTATTAAATAAGAATGAAATGTCGCGATATGTTACAATGAATTTTCGCAATGCAAACATTTACAAATGAAATAACCTTTTCCGTCAATAAATCGCGCTCTTCGGGGTTTTTTATTTATCATTTTGTAGTACACAGTCGGTTATCATGTCATGGTATGTTATTGTTGTACATGTATCCTAGAATGATCAGTTGATGACCTAAATATTCCAAAAACCTATTTATAGATATATCTTTTATCACTCCTATCGGTAAATGCCGGTCTCTCCCGGTCTATTTTGACCAGGATTTACTAGTGACCGGCGAATAGTACCACACGTTTATTGTCCGGTCTCTCCCGATTTTGGAGTAGATGTTTGATATCGTTACAATTGGAAAAAAACAACAATAGCATGTACCATTTTATCTATATGAGATAAAAACAATAAATATGTACACGGATTTATATGTAATATAAATCCGTGATATGTACAATAATTGAGAAAAAGGTACATTTTTTATGGTATTAAAATGACATTATCAACTTTGAAACATTTTATTTAATTATTCAATTTGTTATCCGTGTTTAGTAAAGATGCCGAGGAATTATTCAAAGTTACAAATTAGATTTTATGAATTATTCAATTGATCGATAATTTAAAAAATGATAAAGAAAAATACAATGTACATGTACATGGTTTAAGAATAAACAATATTATGTATTGAAAGATAAACCATAATTTACTGACTTGTTCCAGTTAAGCTTTTATTTATAATCGTCGGTCAATATGACAATTGAATTCTTAAAATTTATTTTACAATTTTAATAAAAAAGAGTAGTAAAAACTCAGTATTAAAATAGCACATAAAACACAAAAAAAGAATAAAAGAAAACAATATTCATAAAATTTGTATTTTTTTAAATTAAAATTAATAGATATTACAATTATTGTATAATAAACAATTATGCTCAACATGATCAACATGGTAATATAACCAGTGTCATATTTTTACTAACTTAAAGTGTGAACAGATACCTTAAGGGGGTCTTCGCTAATAGCGATAACATGTACATAATAAGGGACAAATGTGTGGTACGTGTTGATCATGCGTTACACATATGGATTATAAATGATTGCATACATGTATATCCGTTGCTATTAATAACCACGATCATAAAGAAATAACAAGTAATATTCTAATCTCTAGCATGCCAATCAAAGTTCATAATGAACAATGTCTTTCGTCCGCTCATTCATAAGTGGTATACATTTCTGGTAGTTTATAAGAATATCTTGTCATCATATGTGTACTAGTTCATCTTCACTTGCTGCATTTCTTGCTTGGACGCCCTTTGATGCTTTGCATCAATGC